AAAACAGTTACAAAAGGGGAAAGAGAGTGTTACTAGATCACACATCAAAACGAGTTCACCTGGTTGACAGGGACAGGACAGTCTCCCAGAGAAAGAACCATTTAATCTAAGTATCAAAGGATAAAAAGGAGCTACCAAGTGAAAAATGAGGGTAAAGGGATCTCATATGGAGAAACATCATGCTCAAGGCCATGAAGAAAGAAACTTTGTGGGAATCTAAAAGAAGTAGAAGATGACCAGTTTCACTGTGGCAGAGACAATGCAAGGGAGAGTGGTGGCCTGTGAGCTGGGGATAAAGACAAGAGCAGACTATGGCTGGCATTATATACTGGGTCAAATGTCTACACAATAAGTATTTATCATATGCCTGCTATACACCAGATAACTGAGCATTTAGGAATATTTAAGGCATGTTTTCTTGCCCTCCAGGAACTCACTGCTTCTGTGGAGACTGACAGGTAAACTGTAGTGGGATAAGAGCCAAACTAGATATACGTTCAGGTAGTTCAGAGAAAGATTAACCTTTTCTGGGAGTTTGATAAAAGCTTCCTAGAGAAAGTAATGCCTGAACAGGGATTTGGAATGTGAATCTGAGTTCCCAAGCTAACAATGGCCTATCAGGATATGCAAAATACAGGGACATGAAAACAATCATGACTTTTCCACAAAAGCCCTACTTTAATAGCCCAGAGAAGAAAGTGTTCTTGTGGGTCGCCTGGGTGGCTCAGTCCTTAAGCGTCTGCCTTCGGCTCAGGTCAGGATCCCAGGGTCCTGGGATCGAGCCCCGCCTCAGGCTCCCTGCTCAGTGGGAAGCCTGCTTCTTCCTCTCCCACTCCCCCTCTCCCACTCCCCCTCTCCCACTCCCCCTGCTTGTGTTCCCTCTCTCGCTGTCTCCCTCTCTGTCAAATAAACAAATAAAAGCTTAAAAAAGAAAGTGTTCTCATGTTCTTCAGAATTCAGGGGCCCTTCACCCATAATGGAGCTAGTCTACCAGATGATAAGGTACTTGGCAAAAAAAGCTTCATTCTTCTTTTTTTTTTTTTTTCTAATCAACAAGGGAACTTATCACAGTACTTTGCTTATAGAAGGCACTCAATAGGTGTAAATATATATTTGTAAAATAAAATAAACTATTTATTGAATTAAAATTAACTATAGGATCCCTAGGTACAGAAGGAATAAGAGAGGAAATATACTTTAATATATTTTTCAGGACCTGGGAAGGAGACTGCCCAAGAAGTCAGGGCTGGAGAGTGAAACCCCTGTAACTCTAAAAGTTCAAATGGTAGAAGGGCTCCAAATTGAGGTGCCTGGGCCACCACTGTAGAAGAAGCAATAAAAATGGGTAAAAATGACACAAGGCAAGAAGTACCCACCATTCAAAATGTGTAAGATTGAAAAAAACTTATTATTTAAAAAAACTGTCTGTCTACAAACACTGAGATAATCAAGGATTTGGCAGAGCTGATATGATTTCAGGCAGAGAACAAAGAATTTCATAGTTCATCTCTTCTTCTCCTTCCCCTATCCAAGCCTTGAGGGATTTTTTAAAAAAAGATTTATTTATTTATTTGAGAGAGAGAGTGAGTGAGAGAGAGAGAACGAGCACATGAGTGAGGGGAGGGGCAGACGGAGAAGCAGACTCCCTGCTGAGAACGGAGCCCTATGTGGGGCTCCATCCCAGGACCCTGGGATCATGACCTCTGCACTGAAGGCAGACGCTTAACCGACTGAGCCACCCCGGCACCCCAAGCCTTGAGTTTTAAGAAACCATTTAAATTAACTTCAAAATCTTCTTGCAGACATTACTAAACTCTGTCCATACCAATGAATTCCAATGACATCACTGTTTCCATGGTAACTAATGTACTTATAAGGGGAAAAAACAGAAAGCAAGACTAAAAACCAGGAAAAAAAATGAAGTGGTATAAACAAAGCATAATATTACTCCTTTGCATTTATGGAACACTTTCTAATTTCAAATGCTTTGCCATTACTTAGATTCCAAGGTTCTTAAATGCCAGAAAGATCTCAGAAGTCATCAAATCCACATCCCACTCATAGCCAGGATTCTCTTTACAATGTAGCTGCACCATGGTTGTCCAACTGTTTACAGAGCTCATAGCTGGAAAGTTCTCTCATTCACTTGCAAAGATTACTGAGCACCTATCTTGTTCTGCAGGTTTAAGAGATGATAAGATATTCTACCTTCTTTTAAATTTTTTGCTGTTTAGAGAGCAAATAATTGAAACATAGGGGTAAAAAAAAGAGGGTTATAATAAAGATATAGGACAATGACAAAGAGCCAACTTGGAAGGATTATACATTTCCAATGACTTTTACTTCTATTCCACTTCAGCCCCACACACTCATGACCATCCACAACCTGGGACTTGTCATGACCCAGAACCATTCCAACTCTGCCAACTTAAACTCCAACATTAACTTTCTGATCACAAACAGCTCTTTCATTCCCTAATTAATACTGCACTAGTCCTCTGAGCTTTATGCAGCCCAAGATCCTTCACTTGAAATATTTCCTCACTGTATTTCCTTGCTGATATCTTCAACTTTTATTTTCAGTGACACCCACTTAGCAATAGCCTAACCTGGACTTAGTGACCATCCGTCCTCCCCATTGTTAAGTTCCATAGGAGTCTCTGTCCCACCCTTTGTCCCTTTATCCTCGAGTGTAGAGAAAAATCTGTCAGAACAATCATGAGATTGTTTGCCTTTTTACTTATAGGGCAGTAAGTATCAGGGGCTGCAGGTAAGTGAAAATAACCTAAAGACTAAAAGGTACATATGCTGAATTTGCCAATTATGGTCATTAGACCCCCAACCAGTAAAGTGCATGTAAAACCCACCCCATAGTCATAGTCACATCAAGTGACAGCACTGGTTGAAATAGTCTCTTGGGGTACAGAATGATAATTTACAGAATGGGGAATAAAAAGTGCTGGTTTCTGCTTTTTAAAAAACTTTTCCCTCAAAAATCTCATGATACCTTTAAGTAAACTGGACATATGCCTCTACCCTCATCTTACAGAATGAGAAATCAAGCATTCACTGATATGCTGATAGGATGACTATTAACCTTGAAGTGGAAATAACAGACAATTGGCCCTGTTACCTAATTTCTGCTAGACAGAAGGATTATGTATTACTTGCTCTCTTAAGTTTTGGTAGATAGCCCTCTCTCTAACTTTTTGTGGACTTGTATCTTAAAATCCAATATAAGTATTCTTATTTAGTGATTTGGGTACGTATTACTCGTACCTAGTTTATCTTGGAGGACATAATAGGAAGTCACATTGCTCAAACTATATGTTTACTGAGACATTTTTTTGAGGTGTGCATTTGGTTACCATTGCTTTAAAAATTTTCCAAGCTAAAATTCACAACAGAGAATACCATGGGGGTTTTATCACTCATTTATCCAAATATAAAGACTGGCCTTAAACACTTTCTGATCGTGGGAATGCCCTCAGATCATCCTTACCAGGCTCCCCAATTTTCTTTTTTTTTTTTAAATAATTTTTATTTATTTGACAGAGAGAGAGAGAGAGCACAAGCAGGTGGAGCAGCAGGTAGAGGGAGAAGGAGAAGAAGGCTCCCCACTGACCAAAGAGCCAGACATGGGGCTCGATTCCAGGACCCTGAGAACATGACCTGAGCTGAAGGCACTTGCCCAACCAACTGAGCCACCCAGGTGCCCCCGGACTCCTCAATTTTCCTAAGACAATGTGGATCGAGTGCAGAGCTCCACCGCTTGTTAATGCACTAACTGGCAAGGGAGAAGAGGTACCTGTCAAAGAGGATCATCTCAACTCCACTACTCTACTATTTTATACTTTTCAGATGCTCCCCTGAGAGAAAAACATTTATGAGAGTCCATTCATGCTAGTACATCACTGGATCTTATACCGTGTCAGTTTCATTGAAGAATTCAATGAAAGTTATGAATTCTCTCCATACCAAAACAAACTCAAAGTGAACATATCATTTGGGGGTGGGGGAAGGGAGGAGGGGGAAAGAATCATGAGACCCCTGAAGCTAATTCATGGGCTGAAGTCTAAAAAACTCTGCTCTATAAGCTCTAAAATCTATACCTGAATTAAGCAAGGCCACTATATAGTCATATAGATGGCTTTGTACAAAGCATTGGCTTTGTACAAAAATGCTTGTTCTAAACTGTACTCTGGCATAAGTCCACTTGCTTTTGCTGATGCACACTAGGAGGAAGAAACCTCTACTTAAAGTTAAAAAAAAAAAAGGTAATGAGAGTGTGTTCATCATATAAAGGGTTACTTTATTCTTAGGACCTAGGGGAGATTTATGCCTCTATGGTCTCAGCTCTCCTTCTCTTGAACATTATGCTCTTTCTAACCTCATGGAAATGGGACAGTTTTATAAAGGCCCTATGTGGTCGCTAGAAAACTCATGGATTACTTTTGGCATGTATTTAAGTCCCTTAATGGCATGCAGTTTACGGCTTCACTTCTGATTCTGATTTTAATTGTTCTTTGTCTTAATATTATTACATTTTTATTTTGTCAAATTGTATAGAAAATCCTTAGATACTTTTTAGAAGACAGTGAGCTATGAATGAGTTAAATTGGAGACAGAAGGAAAAAAGTCACCGTTTTCCCTTGTCTTCCCATGAGTGCCTCTACCTAAACACTCATGTGGGGGGTTTTTCGTCGGTAATATCTGCCAGTATTTGGAGAGGTAGTAGTTGGTCACAAAACTCATACCTCAAGGATGTTTTAGAATTCTTTTAAAAATATTTTAATGCAATTAGAATTTTTCTTGATTAATATAATGTATATACATGTTTGCACCTATATGCATGTTGTTAAAGTAACCATAAAAATGAAGCAGGGTTTTCATACAGATTTCTGCGCAGAACTAAATTAAAATTTGGACTGTATTTCTCAATGACTTGCTTCCTCAGTTAGAGTGTTCCATATTGTAAAAATGAAGCTGAAAATGCTTACAGGCACATGGACTTTTCGAAACATCTCAGCACCCTTGCGAGCATCCATCAGTGCAATGTCCTGGGGTGTGGAGACAATCACAGCACCTACCCAACAGAAAACAAAACAAAGAGAAAGTAAAATGATGCATTTAATTCTTTATGGAAAGATTACTTCCACAATTACATTGCTTACATGCTAAAGGAGTGTACAACATTAACTATTTAGGTAATTTGTATAAATTTTAGATACATGAATGGGAAAGATAAGGAAATGTCTACCTCACTCTTGCCTATTTTTGACTTTTCACTTCTAAAATAACAACTGACCAACCAATGATTCAAGATCACAGCTACGTCACAGCTATGGGACTGTCTTCCCATTCAGACAATGTGCTAGTTAAAAGATGCACAAGACAGGCCCTACTTTCAAAAAGCTAATAATCTACTTGGAAAATCCAAAAAACTTAAGGATTACAACACAACATGCTAAGCAGTGTAACAGAAGTATACCTCCTCAATACTATGGAGTTAAAAAGGAGAAATAAAGGAAGATAACTAATTCATTCTAGGGATCAGAATGGCAAAGGTGATAATGGATGGGGTGAAAAGGTAGGAGGAGATAAGGAGAAGCAATAGAGAAAAGGTTTCAGAAAGAAGCGATTCCTGAGCTGAGTCCTAAAAGTTTGTATTAAAGAAACTCACTAGTGTAGAATGTACTGTAGAGAATAGTTGGGTGGCGGTAAAACTAGAAGCTGTGATAGAAATTGAGAAACAGTGGTGGCCTAAATGAAGGCAGCACCAAAAGTAGGTGCTTTCCTAGGTTTCCACTATGACCCTGCAGAAACCAGATGGTTCTATGACATAGGGCATAGAAAGAAAGAGCAGTGTAAACTTTTAAGTGGAAATACCAGAAGGCTGGTTATGATTTGCAGTTTGTGATTTCTTAAGTTTTGTGGGTTCTTCTAGATGATAACCTGAAAAATAATTAACATAAATATATTCTACATGACCTGGATAGCCATCATCTTTAACTAAATACACAATGACATGACATTTCAGAACTCCAAACCATCAAAGTGGCACCAACTGGTAGTACTTCATCATAACTAATGAAAACAGAGGTAGGATCACAATAAATAATGGACTATACCAAATGAAGAACAAATGATACTACAAAGTATTGTCTGAGGGGACACTTTGAAGAAGTCAAAATAAAGACAAGTGGCAGGGAAACCAAGTTGGCACAAAGCACATGGCAATACAGGCTTGCCAAACTCAAAAGAACGTGTCCTATAGCAGTTAGCTACAAATTCCTCTTGCAATCAGTATTTTCATTTCAGCCAAAAAACCACTCCATCTTTCATATTAAATTAATATCACTAATTTGAATTTTATTAATTTTTAAAGTTTTGCTTTTTTTTACTCTGTAATATTTTTTAGTTTTTAAAAAATTATGTAAGAGCTATAAGCTTAAGGAATTTATATTTACACCTAGTTAAGTAGTCTTATAATAAAAATAAGTCAATATGGGGTATGGGGCAGATTATTTTTCCTTCAGAAGGAGGGTCTATTCATTACTCAAGTTTGAGAAACACTAGCTTTGGAATTTCAACAGAATCAGAATTCAAATTTTTATTCCATAGCCAACTTCTTGTGTCACTAGGGTAATAACTTAATCTCTCTGAGATTGGTGTTACTATGCCATTTTGTAGACGAGGAAACTAAATCTCAGAGAAATAATTAAATGAAACTAATGTACCTAAGATGCCTGACATGATGCCTAGACACAGGGTAAACATTCAGTAAAAGATAGCTGATGTTGTTGTTGCTCATATTATCACCATTGTTATCTTTATCACTGTTATTAACAAAATGTCTTAGAAGTTGCTGGGAAGGTCATTTTTATGTGCCATCAGGCAGCTCATCCTACTTTTCAAACTGTTCCATGGGTCACTACATCCTTCTATTTTTATTTGCTCTGCCCAAGGAACCAAACACTAGTAGACTGTTCTTCCTGTCTTTCAAAGATTGATGGAAATCACATCTCTGTAAAAATTATACTCAACTCTACTCCACAGATCCAATATACATCCACAATTTGCCACCTTCTAGGTTCTGTTATCAATCTATTTCACTGTTTTTTCATATCCAGGCATCTGGAAGGAATCTGATTCCAGTTCTGCCTCCATCTAGCTGTATGACTGACCTTTGGCAAGTAACTCAGAATCACTCTAGGTCTCAGTTTCCTTAGCTATAAAATTAATGCAAGGACTAGATAGTCTCCAAGGTCTCAGCTAGCTCTGATTACATGCTTTAGCACTGCCTCTGAACTGTAGTTTCCAAAACCACTCCTGTTCATCCTGACTGCTCAGTAAACCTATTTAAATGAATGTGAAATGCTACCCTACTCCAAGAATATGGCCCCTCAATCTCAGAGCCACTCTCTTCACGTAAATAAAATCTCCTTGGCTATTTCCACCAAATTCTCTCTTAATTATATGCCAGTACACAGGGGGTTTTCTATTGCATTAGCCCTAAAAAGTACTTTTAGCTTTCACAGGATACACTCATTTTATTATTTTAAATAGCCTTTGTCTACTATTTGTATTACCACTATACAATACAATTTCATGGGCAGTTATGATTTTTCTCATTGTTTAATCAAGCAAAACTGATACAATGCCATGTACAAAATAGGCACTTAACAAATAAGTGATTTAAACAATTTTCCTGTACTTTCAAATCATCTATCCTGGACTACTGCTGCATGAACTCTTGGTAACTCCCTGAACTAGGAGTTAAGAGCTCTGGATTCTGGCTGTGTTTACTATGTCTTTGTAACTATATAACCTTGAATAGCTCAGTAATTTCAATACATCTCAATGAACTCTTCTGTAAAGTCCACCTAGTTCCATTGCTCCTATTTAACTTAAAGAGATGTTCCATTAAAGAAAAAGAATGTAAAAGTGTTACAGAAATATTTGGTGATATTATTTTGATAGCTATAAGATCCTAGAGAGAGGGATTGAAGTGCCTTGGTTTCTCTGTACTTAACCCTAACTAACACAGTATCACAAGTAAGCATCCACACCATCTGAGTTTCTTTGTAATCTAAATAGTGCCATTCATGCATCTATTAATAACAACTTTTTGACAAGGACAATGATCATCTTCTATGTCCCGTCAAATGCTTACCGTATGTAAACATTCCATTAGAACTACCAGCCACATTTATAAAAGATTTTTTTGGGGTGCCTGGGTGCCTCAGTTGGTTAGGTGTTGCCTTCAGCTCAGGTCATGATCCCAGCATCCTGAGATCAAGTCCTACATTGGACTCCCTGCTCTGCAGGGAGCCTGCTTCTCCCTCTCCCTCTGCCCACCCCTCCTCATGCTCACCTGTGGGTGCTCTCTTTCTCACTCTCAAATAAATAAATAAAATTTTTAAAAAAAGATTTTTTCATGTAAGAGCTCTTTTGCTGAAGTACATGTTCTTAAATAATTAAGTTCTTAATCACAATGTAATCAGTCTTTAGGACTATTCTCAGAAAAAAATTCTAGCCTTCTTTGAAGAATACAAAAACATAACTGGCCCACACATAAATCACTAACTACTTCTTTTGTTGTACCAAATTTTATTTTATTTTATTTTATTTATTTGTCAGAGAGAGAGAGAGAACACAAGCGGGGGAGTGGGAGAGGGAGAAGCAGGCTTCCCGCCTAGCAGGGAGCCTGATGCAGGACTCAATCCCACGACCCTGAGATCATGACCTGAGCCGAGGGCAGACGCTTAACTGACTGACCAAATTTTAATGAATCATATAAGTTACCATTTCAAACAGCCCTACAATGACCTTTAGAATGTATAAAGAAATAAAGCAAACAAAAAACAAATAAAACCTCCATTAAAATTAATCATTATTAATCAATCTGTGCATCACAATCCAGATTTTTTCTTAAGATTTTTATTTATTTATTTGACAGGGAGAGACACAGAAGAGAGGGAACACAAGCAGAGGGAGTGGCAGAAGGAGAAGCAGGCTTCCCGCTGAGCAGGGAGCCTGAGGAGGGGCTCGATCCCAGGACCCCAGGACCATGACCTGAGCCGAAGGCAGATGCTTAACAACTGAGCCACCCAGGTGCCCCCACAATCTAGATTTTTAAATTTTAAAGAAATTATATCAATTTTTTTCTTGTTACTGTATCTCTTTTCTTAAAATATGGTCTCTAAATCTGCTGTTACATTTTATCTTTATGATTCTTGGCTATCTACCTAATAAATTTTCATTTTTATCAGGGCATGAACCAATATGAACTAGCCCAAATTCTTCCTCTTTAATACCATCACTGATGATGTCACTTAAGTTTTCTCATGGAGGGTTAGTTCGGAAACTTGTGCTCCCTCTACTGACCACAGGAAATGTTAGGAGCAACAAAGAGAATGTTCAGTTTGCAATAAATGGAAGTATTTTCTGGGGGCAAAACATAGTATCATAAAACACCTATCTCAAGAATTCCAGGGAGAATTCTCTATCCGTTTTCTAGAGTAAATGTCTAAGTCCAAACAATGAAATAATATTTTTAAATGTTATTTTCCAAGTTGTAATCTTTTTAAAAGGTTTTTTATCAACTGAGATTTACTATAAAAAAGATTATGTAGCAGATTCTGGCAAATATGTAAACATCCTAAACAATAATTATTATTTTAAAGATTTTATTTATTTATCTGACAGAGACAGCGAGAGAGGGAACACAAGCAGGGAGAGGGAGAAGCAGGCTTCCCACTGAGCAGGGAGCCCGATGCGGAGCTGGATCCCAGGACCCTGGGATTATGACCTGAGCCGAAGGCAGGCGCTTAACGACTGAGCCACCCAGGCGCCCCTCAAACAATAATTATTTAAAGTACTGTTTTAATTGCTAACTCTCTTGACTATTAAAATGAAAATCTGTAACTGCATATCTGAATTTGGGTCAGAGTTCAGAGTAGTTAAACATTTAAAACTGATTATTCCAGATGTTGGGCTGATCATAATTATATCAGTGTGGAACTACTCAACTATGCCATTTTAAGTCTCAGGGCATATAGTATATCTAATTCCCATGTTTGA